ACAACTTTTCAACTTTTGGTTTAAAGTGCTGACTTTTAATGAAGGTGATGTCTACATTTTCGATTGGCTGCAGCTCTGCAAAACTCTCTTTTATACCTTGCTTAAGAACAGTAGGTGCGAAAAACCAGGGTGCAGGGATTAGCATGGACCATTTATTCTCTTTCTTAACAATACTTTTAACTTGATGAAGATCTTGTGTTATCGACTTCTTGCCTACATATTGATTTGCTTCATTTGCTATATTTATACTACATCCAGTATATCAGTGCAGTAACTCTGCATTGTGACCGGGCTCCGTTAACCAGTATTCGAAGTATGTATCTTCACTGTTAGCATCTAAAACATGACTGATTATTGGAGCTGTTGAATCTTGATTTTTCAGTACTATCCAGGGCTTGCATCTCTTGCCCATTTTTGATTTCTTGAGCTGTACTGGGAGATACATTGGATTTCCATGGCCTAGCTAATATTCTCTTTTTAGTATTCTTCTCTCAGCTGTAACCAAAACCTTCTTTTCTATTTCACTAAACCACCGTGCTTTTATTCCAGTTATACATTTACCCCTTAGAGCTCTGAGTTGTTGTCACGTTAATAGTGTGTTGCCTTCATAATCAATTATTTGCTCTAAGAAAAAAATTTCTAATTTGATGCGAGAGTTTTCACTCTTTTCAAATACTTTGGGTGGTATTAGATCCTCTATCATAGGACCTGTGCCCTTTATTTGCCACCCTTGTTTATCTGTACTAAGAAATACTTCAAACTATTTGCATCTTTCAACTGTATTACAGGCGATATTGCCTCTCCACCTAGTTTTGCCCATCTCAGCAACAGTACACTTCCAAAAATCTTGGCTTATCCTTTTACGAAAAATACCTTGTCTAATTCTAAGCCTTGTAATTCTACCTATTGTGTCTATTAGGGATATTAATGGCTGGCTTGGTTCAGCTTGGCTCAAAAAACCATGGCTCAAGGCTTAAGCCATGGCTTTACAGCCATGGTTTAAGCTATAGTTTAAGTCATAGTTTTTAAGCCGGCTATAAATTTATAAGGCTAATATAATATAATATATTTAAACTATTAAAACTATCTAAAATTACTATAAATTTTGCTATAAACATATCTATTAATTGGAAATTTAAAAATAACTTTGCTAAAAACTCACATTTTTGCGCAAGAGACAAAATATCCTATATTTAGTATAAATTATTAATAATATATAGGCTCTAAGAGGAAATTTTTATAGCAAAGCGCTAATTTAGGCAAATTTAGCTTTGTACTAGCACTATTAATGAGCTTTCGATGAAAAATTATAAAATTTTTATACTCAGTCAAAAAGCCTCATCGAAAGCTTGTTAATAATGCTAGTAAGAAGCTAAATTTGCCTAAATTAGCACTTTGCTATGAAAATCTTAGAGCCCTATATTATTAATAATTTACACTAAATATAGAATATTTTGTCCCTTTCGCAAAAATATGAGATTTTAGCAAAGTATATACTTTCAATTAGTGAAATCAGTAAAAAATAATATATATCAATCAAGAGTTAATGAATTTTATATTTAATACAGAACACCTATACAAATTAATATTAGAATGACAACTTTTGCAAGCAAATTGCAAATGTTTATTAGGTTGTGCTTCAAATAATCATGTGAATTAATCCAAACGATCATTAATAATATCATTAATTAAATAAACTACCTTCATATTTCACTTCATATTTGCTTAATACTTCACTTTATATTTTGCTTCATACTTTGCTTTATATTTTATTTCATACTTTGCTTTGAATTCACTTCATTGCTTTGCTTTATATTTCGATTTATACTTTGCTTTATATTTCGGTTTATATTTTGCTTTATATTTCACTCCATATTTTGCTTCACATTTCGCTTTATATTTTGCTTCATATAAAAATAAATAAAAAAAAACAACAAAATAATAATAATAATGCAAACCGGTTTGTTTAACTTGTCTGATTTACCTACTCTGCTTCAAAAAAATACTTCTATCCAATAATTCTTATAAAATACAATTATATTGAACTATAAATATGAAAAAATAAATATTAGATAGCTTAATGTGGATTATACATGGATCTTAACAGCTAAAAGGTGCCCTAATTGGCTAAGCGAATTTCAGGAAATATCAAAGATCACTATGCGGCTAAGAAAGAATATGAAAAAGCTTAATCTTTATCATTGGGCAAACTGGTTGTTTATCTTTATTAACAAAATTCTACCGTAAAAACTGAATCAATATGAAGCAAAGCAATGAAGTGAATTCAAAGCAAAGTATGAAATAAAATATAAAGCAAAGTATGAAGCAAAATA